GGACCAATGGTCACCGATTAGGCATTGTTCGTTATATAGAGGGCGCAAGTAGCTACTAGTAGTACAGTGGGCCTTTAAAGTTAGACACACTACTGTACTTTCAAGCAGTTGGGTTCTCTGAATGTCATGTGGCCATTGCATCGGTAAGAAGTTTAAACATTTGTCACACCTTATATATGTCTTTTTCAATGTCAAACAGCAATAATCAAATAAACTAAGCGCACAAATCTCAAAAATATTTAGTTCTATATTAAAACTTATAACTTTTGTTTTTTTCCCTCACGAACTACTCCAGGAACAACACGAGAAACCACTCTGGCTACAACACCTGCAACAAAACCTGCAACAACGCCAGGAACGACACCCGGAACATCACATGGACCAACACCTGTGACAACGCCAGCTACAACACCTGGAACAACACCTGAAACAACACCAGGCACAACACCAGGTACTACACCAGGCACAACACTAGGTTAGGTCAAGTTTTGTTTGAGGTTTAAAGGTAGACAAACTACTCTACTTAAAAGGAGTTGGGTTCTCTGAATGTCATGTGGTTATTGCATCTGTAAGAAGATTAACCATTTGTCACACCTAATATATGTCATTTCCAATGCAAAGCAGCAACTGATAATCAAGTAAACTAAGTACACAAATCTTAAATATGTTTAGTTCTATATTAATACATATAACTTTTGATCCTTTCCCTTGGGAACAATTCCAGGAACAACACCTGGAACCACTCCAGCTACAACACCTGCAACAACGCCAGGAACGACAACTGGAACAACACCTGCAACAACATCTGTGACAACACCTGGAACAACACCAGGCACAACACCAGGTACTACACCAGTCACAACACCAGGTTAGGTCAAGTTTTGTTTGAGGATTAAAGTTAGACAAACTACTCTACTTAATAGGAGTTGGGTTCTCTGAATGTCATGTGGTCATTGCATCTGTAAGAAGTTTAAACATTTGTCACACCTAATATATATCTTTTTCAATGTCAAACAGCAACAATCAAATAAACTAAGCGCACAAATCTTGAATATATTTAGTTCTATATTAATACTTATAGCTTTTGATTTTTTCTCTCAGGAACAACTCCAGGAACAACACCAGGAACCACTCCGGCTACAACACCTGCAACAACACCTGGAAAATCGCCAGGAACGACACCCGGAACAACACCTGGAACAACACCTGTGACACCGCCAGCTACAACACCTGGAACAACACCTAGAACAACACCAGGCACAACACCAGGTTAGGTCAAGTTTTGTTTGGGGTTTAATGTTAGACACACTACTGTACTTTCAAGGAGTTGGGTTCTCTGAATGTCATTTCCAATGCTAAACAGCAACTGATAATCAAGTAAACTAAGCACACAAATCTTGAATATATTTAGTTCTTTATTAATACATATAACTTTTGATTCTTCCCCTCAGGAACAACTCCAGGAACAACACCAGAAACCAGTCCGGCTACAACACCTGCAACAATACCTGCAACAACACCAGGAACGACACATGCAACAACACCTGTGACATCACCTGGAACAACACCAGGCACAACACCAGGTACTACACCAGTCACAACACCAGGTTAGGTCAAGTTTTGTTTGAGGTTTAAAGGTAGACAAACTACTCTACTTAAAAGGAGTTGGGTTCTCTGAATGTCGTGTTGTTATTGCATCTGTAAGAAGTTTAAACATTTGTCACAACTAATATATGTCTTTTTCAATGTCAAACAGCACCAAATAAACTAAGCGCACAAATCGTGAATATGTTTAGTTCTATATTAATAATATTAATTTTTGGAAAATTGATTGTATCTCTGTAAATATTGATCAATTTTCATCCACATTTTGATATGTTTTAGCTGAGACAATTCTCTTTCGATGCAGTTGTCACAAATTTTCATTTTGACGAAAGCATCATGGCGTATTTTTGCGATTAAAAGAGGCATGTCAATTGTTTTCATTTTGCGTGTATTCTCAATGGGACATGACTTTTTCTGAAAACTGGATTCTACATTCCCGTCTTTCACGAGCAATATCTCCGTTGTCTCAGCTTCGTTTTCGCTAAGCATCGAGTATGTTGTAGCTGAAACAATAAGCTATCACATGAGTGTAATTTATTTCTCGATCAGATGCCGGGATCATGCTCATATTTCACTTGCAAAGTGGGATTTGAGAATTTCATTTTCCGTTTAAGTGTAATCGCTATGGGAAATGTTTTGGTATATCGGTAACGCACTTGACTTCGGACCTCGAGATCCCTGGTTCGAGTCCGGGAGTCTCCAACAATTTTTTTTCTTCTTTTTTTTTTTTTTTTTGACTTTACAATGATCATAACATTGAAAACAGACCACCTAAATCGTCCCCATGACGAATTAAATTTCTAGTTATTATTTATTTTTATTTCTTCCTGTTTTTTGTTTATCTGTTAACTCAAGATCAGTTGTGTTAATTTCTTTTAATTTTGACACAGTCATAAGTAATTGTCATGAGACGTGACAGGAACATTTTCAAGGTCATCAGGTCATCGTGACGTCTTCAAGGCGCCATTTTGTGAAATCACGTTATCCATCATATCTTCATGATGCATCAGCAAAGGTCATTCATATTCATATCACATATATTTCAGGTCAAGGGTCAACAGGTCATGTCATTAAAAGGTCACATAAAGGTCATGACGCGCACGTACGCGTGCGTCAAAATTTAAAAATGCTCAAAATCACTTATTTATTAAACGAGAGTATGAATTAGGTCATTTTAAGCATTTCAAAATTTTCCGTCCGTACGTGTCCCCGCGCGCGTTGCGCGCGCTCACAACGCGCGTTAAAGGTCAAATTCAATTTGTTTGCATGATTTAGATTCCTCTTACCGTAAATGACAATTTGCATTAATTTCAGTCACTCTTGACCTTTCATAAGGCCGTGAGCGCGCGTCAAAGTTCAAAATCCGCGCGTGCTGCTATGGAAAATATAATGCAAATTTGATCAAAAACATGCCATTTTAAAAATCGAAATAGCTCTTCAGATAGTTAAATGACACCCAACTTTTATATCATGATTGGAAAAAGCATGAGTTGGAGATATGATTTCATGTGTCATTTGACCCTCAATTAACTCATGACGTCATCATAATGGCCTCCGAACTCAAAATTTCAATTTGCATATTATGACGTCAGCAGATTTTTGCAGAATTGATTGTATCTCTGTAAATAATGGTCAATTTTCTTTCAAATTTTGATATGTTCTACCTGAGAATATTCTTCACAAATGCAGTCCCACAAAATTTCATTTTGACAAAGGTATCATGGCGTTTTTTGCGATTAAAGGAGGCATGTCCATTTTTCACATTTTGCGTGTATTCTCTATGGGACATGACTTTTTCTCAAAACTGGATCTACATTATCGTCTTTCGCGAGCAATATCTCCGTCGTTTTATCTTTGTTTACGCTGAGCTTTAAATATGTCGTAGCTGAGGCAATAAGCTATCCCTAATGTGGACTTTATTTTTCGATCAGATGCCGGGATCATGCTTATATTTCACTTACAAAGTGGGATTTGAGAATTCAATTTTCAGTTTACGTGTAATCTCTATTGGAAATGTTTTGGTATATCGGTAACGCACTTGACTTCCGACCTCGAGGTCCCTGGTTCGAGTCCGGGCGTTTCCAACAAATTTTTTTCTTCACTTTTTTTTCTTTTTGACCTTTCACTGTACCATCTCCTTTGAATATTAAAACACGTACAATCGCAAATAATGTAATAAACAACCATATTTACTTTAATATTACCCTATTATCACTTGATCCATTACTTTTGGCGTGTAATCCTTATGGGAGATGACTTTTTCTCAAATCTGGATTCTACATTATTGTCTTTTGCGAGCAAATTTCGGCTTGATTTTTGTTGACAAGGCCGTCTTGACAAACTATCTGCATTGGCATGCGAGCGACCAGCTCGGTGTATGATTTTGATATCATACTCAGCTATCACTTGAAGCCAGCGGGCCATCTGCCCTTACAGATCTTTGAAATTCAGAAGCCATCGCAATGCTCCGTGGTCTGTCCTGACCGTAGTCTTCTGCCCATACAAGTACTGTCGGAATTTCTTCAAAAATTCTACGACGGCGAGCAACTCCTTTCTGGTAACGCAATAGTTCTTCTCTGCTTTGTTCAGAGCTCTGCTAGCATATGATATGACTCGTTCCTTTCCATCTACCACTTGAGATAGGACAGCCCCTATCCCCTCATTACTAGCATCCGTATCCAGGATATAATCCTGTTCTGGGTCTGGGTATGCTAAGATAGGCGATTGGTACAGCCGCTTCTTGAGTTCCTGGAAGGCATCTTCACATTCCTCAGTCCATACGAAGGTGTGGGCTTTCTCGGTTAGCCGATGTAGTGGCCGGGCGATATTGGCAAATCCTTCAGTAAACCTTCTATAGTACGAGGCCAGTCCTAAGAAACTCTGGACGTCCTTTACACTAGTAGGGGTTGGCCACTCCTTGACAGCTCTTATCTTTTCTGGGTCTGTGGACACTCCTTCCCTGGACACTACATGTCCCAGATACAAGACACTCTCCCGAAATAGGTGACATTTCTTTGCTTTGAGCTTCAATCCTGCTTTCCGAAGACGTTGAAAGACCATCCCCAGTCTAGTCAGTTCTTCGTCGATTGTTTTGGCGAATACAATGACATCGTCCAAGTAAACCAAGAGTACTTCCCAATGCAGTCCGGACAGGACATGCTCCATCAGCCTCTCAAAGGTGGATGGGGCGTTGCATAGCCCGAAGGGCATCACTTTCCAGCTGTATAGCCCTCCTCGAACAACGAAAGCTGATTTCTTTTTGGCTTCTTCATCTAGCTCGACCTGCCAATATCCTGAGGCCAGGTCCAAAGTAGAAAACCATTTTGCACCTCCAAGTGCGTCCAGCGAATCATCAATGCGAGGTATTGGGTAGCTGTCCTTGATTGTCAAGTGATTCAGACGACGATAATCCACGCAAAACCTTTTTGACCCATTTTTTTCTTTACGAGAACAACATTGGATGACCAAGGGCTGTCTGAGGGCTCTATTCTGTCATGTTCAAGCATGTCTTGGATTTGACGATCAATCTCTTCCTGCTCCTTGGGTGGAAACCTACGGGGCCTTTGTCTGATTGGAAGACTATCCCCTGTGTTGATGTGATGTTTGACAAGGCCAGTCTTTCCAATGTCTGAGTCCGAAATTGCGAAAATGTCTTGGTTCTCGCACAGTAGCTTGGCAATTCTGTCATGGAAGACCTTGTCTATCCCTCTCTTGCTTCTTTCAAAGAGATCTACGAGATGGTCTGGGACTGTATGATTATCGGTTGTTGGTAAAGGTTGGCCTGGAATTTCTTCAATGTCCTCCCCGCTGATGGGTGTTAGATGGCCGGCAAGTGTACCTCTGCGAATTACGCATGCCTTCTTTCCTGGGTTGAAGACTCGAACAGGGAGGGTTGTTTCCGTCCTTTCTACAACTACCCGTGCAACGATGATGCCTTTGTTCAGGAGCTCGCTACTCTCCGCAGGTTCAATGAGACCCAGACCTGTCCCATCTTGCAGCCCTGTCGTGTAGCCTGGAACAATAACCTCATGACCTGGTTGCACCCTTGTAGTTGCCCCTATCAATACTCTGGAGCTAAATGAAACTCCTCGTGCATCCGTACATTTGATTCTCTCTCCCTTGAGCCGCAGTTCCTTTGTCTTCAGATCGATAATACACCCATTTGGTTCCATGAAGTCCAGCCCAAGTAGCCCGTCTACCTGGTCGGTATTGCCGAAGACTACTTCTAGTGGAAAGATGCATGTTCCTACACCAAGCTCCAACCATGCACTACCTAGCGTTTCCATGCTACTGCCATCTGCATTGCGAACTCCCACTTTTGTCAAGTCTGGCCTATTAGTTGAATGTATCCGATAGTACACGGATGAAGATAAAATGGTATCGGTGGCACCTGAATCTACCAACAACCTTGCTTTGATTCCCCTTATCTCCACTTCAACAAAAAGACCACGTCGTGCTTTATCAGATATGTAATTCCTTGAAGGATATTCTCGAGGAGATGGAGGTGTGTCAGTTACATGCCCTGGTGTCCGTCCAGCCTCCCCTCGGGCCTCTGGGTTGGCTGAGCCTCGTTTCCCGAAGGCCTCCTGTATTCTCTTGCGTGAGGGCAGTTCCGCCTAAAATGCCCCTTCTCATGACACTCGTAGCATTCATCTGTGGCTGTTGGTGTTCTCCGCCTGTACGAGTTGGGTCTCTCCCGTCTGAATTCTTCTGACTTGATGGGTCGTTCCTGTTTGGCGATTCTCTCATCTATTCTCTTCAGCTCTCTCCAGATTTCATTGATCGTAGCTGCTGAATCAGTGTCAACGGCCCTTGCCTGCTTCTGCCTCCTGCCAGACCGTTGTTCCTCGAGTCTGAAAAAATTATCAGTTGCCAAGGCCGCCTGGATGGCTTCATCCATAGTTGTTGGCTTAGATCGAAAGACCCCTTCCCTGATGGATTGGTCCTCAATCGCCTCTGCAAAGTGTGTCCTTGCCAACCGATCCTGGGCTTCTTCAGTAAGTTCCGGGTATGCCAACATGGATAACTCCCGTATGGCCTGACCCAGTTCCTGGAGGGTCTCTCTGGGCCCTTGGCGTCTGTAACGCAGTTCAAGGAGGAAGTTCTCTGCCAACTGGCCTGGGCCAAATCTCTTCTCTAGAAGAACTACCAGGTCTTGGTATGCGATCCGAGAAGTGTCAGCTGCCTTGCTGCCCAAGATCTTCAGTGCTGATCCCCTCAGACTTGCTGCTAGGAAAACCTTTGCCTGGTCATCACCCCAGATATTGGCGACCTTGCAGGCTTCAAAATGGCTGAGGTAATCCCTCCAAGGTGTCCTCCCATCGAATTTGTCGGGCGATACATTTGGCTTAGACAGTGTAACAGGTGACCGTACCCCTGGAACTTCGCTCCTGTGTCGCTGGTAGTGAGGAATTGATGCAAGAACATCTGAAGCATCCAAATCTTGCCTATGTAAGAAGCCTGTTCGTAGCCCATCTGCCCGACGAACGGCTGTTGATGTTTTACTTGGAGACCACTGTGCAGCATGAAGTTCCTTCGCCTCAGCAGCTGCAGTCTGCTCGTGTGCCACCTTAACTTGCGTTTGATCCTCTAGGCATCCATGCATTGGTGATTCAGGTCCCTTGGGATTGACCAGCAAGTTATCATTCATTGTGGTCGCATGAGTCTCCGTTGACTCATGTTCCCGTCTACCAGCAGTGGGTGGTGTTCCACTCTGGGACTGGTAAGGGAAACTTACAGGAGACTGATCGATATGCAGCCTTCTTACCTGCAGTCTGAGAAGCTGATTCTGTTCTAATAATGACTGAATCTCTGTCTTGGACCGACGTAGATCTTCGTCGCCTCGCTGCACTTCTGCTGCATGGACTTCTACCTCGTCCTCTATAGTCAGTCTCTGAGTAGCCATACCACAATGTTTCTTCCAAACACTGATGCTTTCTGCGTCGTTGTTGTGTGGAGGCGCCACAGAGTGATGTGTTGAAGCGATGAGGCGCTATCAGCCCTATGTCGTAGCAGTGAGGTGCTATAGAGCGCTGTGTTGAAGCAGTGAGGTGCTATAGAACGCTGTGTTGTAGCGGTGAGGCGCTATAGACCACCGTGTTGAAGCAGTGAGGTGCTATAGAGCGCTGTGTTGAAGCAGTGAGGTGCTATAGAACGCTGTGTTGTAGCGGTGAGGTGCTATAGAACGCTGTGTTGAAGCGGTGAGGCGCTATATACCGCCGTGTTGTAGCGGTGAGGTGCTATAGAGCGCTGTGTTGAAGCAGTGAGGTGCTATAGACTGCCGTGTTGTAGCGGTGAGGTGCTATAGAACGCTGTGTTGAAGCGGTGAGGCGCTATAGACCGCCGTGTTGTAGCGGTGAGGTGCTATAGAGCGCTGTGTTGAAGCGGTGAGGTGCTATAGACCACTGTGTTGAAGCAGGGAGGTGCTATAGACCACCGTGTTGAAGCCGGTGAGGAGTTGCCGTGTCGAGCTAATGCTCGATTAACCTTATTTTTGATAATCAGCTCTGCCGTATGCTGATCGAGTACCGTGTCTCGTGTCTGTTTTAATCCCACCGCTAGCCACCAATGTAACGAAAACGGGTCTCTCACTCTCTGGGTAGCGTCACTTCTTCAGTCAGAACCCGCTCTTTCTCTGTACTCGACGTTCTCACAAAAATATATTGTGCAACAGACACTCTCAGATCAGCTTACAATCACGTAACTAAATTAAGTTACCAACACAGGAAATAATATGCACTTACAGATCAAGTAATGTTTCCAAGAACTTTAATAATCTGAACTTCCAAACAAATTAAGGCACAACTTCCTTCTTCCGCAGCTCAACACAAACTGCCCACAAGATTAACCCCACGTACGCGCATCGCAGTGCGCGACATAACCATAGCGACATCTACAATAACAATAAACAATTACAATAACTAACGCCCTCTAAAGGCTAGGTAATGTAAATAACGATTTCGTTACAATACCATGTTAAACTCTTTATGACTATTAATAACAGAATGATCGACCGTTTAACATAAATTTCCGTGCGCGCGAGCTCTTGTATTACATAGCATATATGGGCAAGAACTTGCCTATACAAAATCCATTGTAGCTATTTAGGATGCAAGGTGACCCCAATTTTGTTTTCATTTTTTGATAGATAATGAATTGGAGATATGATTTCATGTCTCATTTGACCTTCAATTAACTCATGACGTCATCAAAATGGCCTCCGAACTCAAAATTCCAATTTGCATATTATGACGTCAGCATATTTATGGAAAATTGATTGTATCTCTGTAAATATTGATCGATTTTCTTCCAAATTTTGATATGATTTAGCTGAGACAATTTTCTACAAATTTAGTTACTATTATTCTTCATTTTGACGAAGGCATCATGGCGTATTTTTGCGATTAAAGGACGCATGTCAATTTTTACACATTTTGCGTGTATTTTCTATAGGACATGACTTTTTCTCAAAACTGGATTCTACATTTTAGTCTTTCGCGAGCAATATCTACGTCGTTTTAGCTTCGTTTACGCGCTGTGCTTCGAGTATGTTGTAGCTGAGACAATAAGATATCTCAAATGTGCCCTTTATTTTGTCTCAATTTTTTGTTGGATCAGCCCACCTATACTTGTTCCAAACAAGTATTACAAATCTAGTTATTCTTTATTTTTCTTATTTCGAACCACTTTTTTGTACGCACGATTACTTGAAAATGGCTCAATCAAATGCCTTCAAATTTGGCACACATATGTATAGGCATATGTACAAAGCATGAAAACGTTTTCAACATTGACTTGACTGAAGACGTCATCTAGGCGCCATTTTGTAAAATTTTACGAAAATCAACACATGATCATATCTTCATAACCAAAGGTTATTTCTCATTCATATTTATCATGATCAAGGTCAATATCCGTCCGGTCAATTGCAGGTCAAATAACACGCGCGTGCGCGTACGTCCGCGCGTCAATGCGCGCGCAAAATTTTAAAATGCTCAAAATCGTCTCAAAATCATTTTGCATACGTTTTAGGCCATTCAAAGCATTTTATAAAAAATCGCGCACACGCGCATGCGTGCGCGTTTTCGCGCGTAAAACTATTGCACAACATAGAATCGCCATTTTTTTCCTTCATAATATTCCACATATTTTTACAAAAAAAATGATACCATGTTTATCTCTTTATGACTATCAATGACGGAATGATCGACCGTTAAACATAAATTTCCGTGCGCGCGAGCTCTTGTAATACATAGCATATATTGGCAAAAACATGCCTATGCAAAATCCATTGTAGCTCTTTAGGATGCAAGGTGACCCCCCCATTTTTGTTCATATTTTGATTGAGTATGAATCAGAGATATGATTTCATGTGTCATTTGACCCTCAATTAACTCATGACGTCATCATAATGGCCTCTGAACTCAAAATTTTAATTTGCCTATTATGACGTCAGCATATTTTTGGAAAATTGATTGTATCTTTCTAAAAATTAATTGATTTTCTTCAAAATTTTGATATGTTCTAGCTGAAACAATTTTCTACAAATCCAGTCTCACAAATTTTCATTTTGACAAAGGCATCATGGCGTATTTTTGCAATTAAAGGAGTCATGTCAATTTTTCACATTTTGCGTGTATTCTCTATGGGACATTACTTTTTCTCAAAACTTGATTCTACATTCCCGTCTTTCGCGAGCAATATCTACGTCGTTTTAGCTTTATTTACGCTAAACTTCGAGTATGTTGTAGCTGAGACAAAAAGCTATCTCGAATGTACCCTTCATTTTGTCTCAATTTTTTGTTGGATCAGCCCACCTATACTTGTTCCAAACAAGCGTCAAAATTTAAAAATGCTCAAAATCACTTAACTATTAAAGGAGAGTACGAATCAGGTCATTTTAAGCATTTCAAAATGTTCCGTCCGTACGTGTCAACGCGCGCGTTGTGCGCGCTCACAACGCGCGGAAAATGTCAAATTCATTTTTTTTTACATAATTTAGATTCCTCTTACCGTAAATGACAATTTACATTAATTTCAGTCACTCTTGACCTTTCATAAGGCTGTGAGCGCGCGTCAAAGTTCAAAATCCGCGCGTGCTGCTATGGAAAATATAATGCAAATTTGATCAAAAACATCCCATTTTAAACATGAAAATACCTCTTCAGATAGTCAATTGACCCCAACTTTTATATCATGGTTGGAAAAAGCAAGAGTTGGAGATAAGATTTCATTTGTCATTTGACCCTCAATTAACTCATGACGTTATTATAATTGCCTCCGAACT